CCCGGCCACCGCGTCGGTGGGCCGCCCGCCCGAGAGCGGCGGGGGCGACTCGAGCAGGAGCGCCTGCGGGGGATGCACGGGCATGTTGGAGAGCATGAAGTGGGAGTACAGAGAGAGTGTGTGCGGGAGAGTGAGGGAAGCCGGGAGGGGCTTCGCCGCCGAAGCGTGGCCGGACTTGCTCCGTCGATGGGAGGTGAAGAAATCCCGCCGCGCCCTCGCGTTGGATCCCTGCCGGGAGGCGACCTTGCCAAACGGCTCCGCAGGTTTCCCCGGAACGTCGCGAGGGCTTAACTTGCTGAATGACGCATTTGTGGAGCTGTTATCCCTACCCATCCGAGAGTTATCAGGGTGTGATTCAAGGCTCCCACTTTCACAAGGTGCAAAGGAAGCGATTCCCTGGTTCTCCATATTAATTTGCAACGAGTCTTCTTGCGTGCCCGCGCTCCCTGAACTCCTGCATCCGTCTAAAGGAGAGGTGAAGTTTTTACGCTCCGATGCTGCATTCTTTTTCGAAAAGCTGCATCCGCTTAATCCACTTTCTGAAGAATGCTTGTATTTCCCGTTCCTCAAGACTTCTGGACTATGCTTGTGCTTTCGTATAGGAATTTTGCTTCTACTATGGACCAAAGCTTTGCCGCCCTGTACGCCTGAGGAGTCGTCTTTCCCTAACACTTCAGAGACAGATTTCTCTGGAAGTGATGGATAGTATGCACTTGCGGTTTTCAGCATGTTTAAAGGGAGCTCGGATAGACCTAGATCAATCTTCTGTTGCGTGCGGGCAGCTAGAAGAATGGCTGACTGCACACTCTTAGGAGAGTTTTTGAATTCGATACGAATACGAAGAGTCGGAATCGCCCATGCTTCAACGGTTGACTTGGTTTCCCAGCCACTTGGCCACTTGGTCATCAAAAGCCCTTCCCATCCACCACCCACGGTTGCGAGAAAGTGTTTCGTCGGTAGGAACGGCAGCGGCGGGTTCAACTCCTGTTCCTCATCCGGAGTTACGATACTTGGGCGTTGGACTGCTGCACCTGCTCCACTCGCCATCACTTTGGATGCAGGCGCTCCTATGCCTTTCCCCACATTCGATTGGCTATGATCCATGGCCTCACTTTCCACTTCGTCCACAAAAGTAAAGTGGACACAATCATCCCGCCTGGGATCGGTGGTTTGTCTACGGTACTCAAGGTTTCCGTTCGAAGCTAGCTGGGACGTACCAAAGATCGAATTCTTTGTGGTGATGTTGGGGGGCTTCGCCCAATCTACTAACGTCATATGCTGACCCTTCGGCTTGGAGGTTTTCGTGGGCTCGTCCTTGTGGTAGGTCCACGTTGTTGAAGAAAAGTTCAACGCCTCATCCTTTGGCTTCTCACCTTCCGTGGTACGCAGTGGTGGCAGCGTGGCCAATGGCATGGTGGGGACGCGACCGTAAGAGCGAGGATCGCGTAGATCGGTGGACATCACCAGGAAAATCTCCTTCACATTTTGAGAAGGCTCGCAAAGTGAAACAGACCGACCGAATACCCTTGGCTCTGCCGCCTTTGCTAATGCGTTAATTGAGTTCTCCGGGAACTCACTAAGAAGAGGGGCAAAGCGCAGGCACATCGGATCAAGGCGCATATTGTTTCTAATTTGCTCAGTTAGCTTTGTGCGTAAATTGACAAGTAGCAAAGGGCTGTCTAGAATAGCGTTAATAAACCTCTCACCAGATATCCGATAAAAGAGCGCGCAACGACTGCTCACAGTGCACTGGTAACGCTGAACACCGGGCAAGATATAGGGTTCCTCGCCGAGCAGTGCATACCGTCCCTTGATTTTGAGGGTGTAGAACTTGTTTAGTGTGAGAGTTTGATAAACACCGCTTTCATATGAATCATCAGGCCCTTTTATGCTTCGCCGGACTGAACCGTCGATGAGGCAGTACACGTCACCGGGACGCTGCCCTTGCTCAAATAAAACTTTGCCGCGCTCGATAACAACTGGCTCAAAGTCGCACACATACCGATCGACCGGATACGTGTTGGAATGGATTAAGTGGCGATATATAGGAACATTATGTATGCAGGTATGAATAGGATATTTTTCACACAGTAGATTCATGTGATGTTCTTTTGAGGCCTCGAAATACTTCTGCAGCATCTTGTGGTCCATATGCTTCAGGAACGCGGCTTCAAAATCCTCGGCGGAAAGTATCCACATAATGCATTGTGAGATAGCTTTGTATGTCCCAGCGAAGGTAGCTGAACTTTGAAACACCCCACCAAATGTTGCCTTAGATACCAGGATCTTATGAGGGACCCAAGCCTTGATCGAGACGTGTTTGTCCTTAGCTACATGCACATTAGCGTGCGTCGATTCATTGCTGCATGGGGTGAGGTCAGATAGCTTTTCTTTGTGATCGCCAGAGCTGCCCTCGCCGGGCAACTTTTCCAAGTAATGACACTTCCCCGAAATAAGAAAGTACAACTTGCTTTGGCTTGGATCTCCATATTGAGCGATAATTTCACCCGGCATAAAGCGCACCCTAGACATGAGTAGGGAGAGATCCTGAAGTAACGCAGGGGAGCCAAGCGAAGCCAACAGAGGACTGTGCTCCGCCAAGTAGTTGGCATGCATCATATCACCTTCGGCGTTGCTGGTTACACTTTGTCTTCTTGCTTGCGCGGGTGGGTGTGAAGAACCTGAGAGGCGTTCCGCGGCATATTTTCCCAACACATGATTGTATTTATCCTTGCGGTAAAGTAACACCGGAAGCATTCTTTTTTCTAAAATTGCACGCAGCCGCATTTCACGGTATCGAGTAGCCATCTCGTCGGTCGAAAGGATAAGGACAATCAATGACTGCCACATCATCGCGCCCTTGAGGACCGCCGCGAGCTTAACCGTGCTAAGCCCTAAAGTACAAAGATGTTGGATCCCTCCTAAAGCGCGACCGTGTTTGCCGTCGACGTGACGCTCTCCCTCAGTACCGACCGAATTCACTTCCGGAAAGGGTAATTGCGCGGAACTCATGGGAGAGCGCGGGGCGGGAAACTGTCCAAGGCTATTAAAACTCTCTGATAAAGGGGTTTTGCTCTGGCGCTCCGGTGCCGCGAGACAGCCCTGGGAAATGCTCAGTCTCGAGGTCTCCAAATCGGTGCGGGATGGGCGCCGCCGCTGGGCCGCCCCCAGCGCGTTCTCGAAGGCGGTGTCCGTGACCCGCATGAGGGGATACGTCGCCACCATCTGGAAGGCACGGTCCCAGCTGTAAAAGGTGTCCCGGCCCCGCCCCCCGGAGGCCGCGGTGGGGGCCACAAAAGATGACAGGCTGCGGCGCCGTGGGGCGACCACCAGGCCCGAGGGCCTCCGCTCCCGGCCTCTTGACAGGTCGTTGGCCAGCAGGAAGGTGGACGGGCTAGTGGACTGAGAGGTCGACAACGCCCCGTGCTGCGACTTGGACATACACAAAGGAAGAAGCGAACTACTCCGTGAGGCTTTTCGGCTGGGAAAGGCGGATCCATCTTGGAATGCTAAAGGATTCTTAGTGTCATCAGCGATGGATGTATCTTCTTGGGTGACAGCAGCCGACACTTCCACATCGCTACGATCTACATTTGTGTACTCGAGAATAGGCAATGACATATTCTATTTTGGTAGGAATATTGTTTTTCTTGTTTTTTTAGTTAAGATTCTAATAATAAATAGGAATTTTAATTCTTGTGGCGCACAAGACGTGAATATTAAAAGCAAGGTAAACGAGCCGCAGAGTTTGATCAATGTGAAGCTGCACACAAAAATGTACCAATTCAAGAGAACATCATAATGCATAGTGATCGTCTTATGGACATAGGAGAAGTGATTGGATCTGAATTACACACGTTTGCCGCTGGCAAAAGATTATATGTACACCTTCTCAAGATTCTCTTTTTTCGTTGTTAAAAACAGAAAGTCTTTTCAAGCAAAGGGAAGAAATGAAAAGGAACCTGCACAAAAGTCAAAATGCCGCTTCAAATAGTTTTAATATGAAAAGAAATTCAACATCGTAGTTACTCCTTTCGTGGCGCGCTAAATCACCAACGATGACAAGTAAAAATAGCTTTACTGACGAAACAATTCCCCTATATTCGATATTGATACGGAGGAAGATGATAAGACTGAAAAAAAAAGAGTGTGATTAAGTGCATCAGATTGATAAATAAACTACGGAAAACACACCGTATATCAATAACGCGGAATGTCGATGCACAAGAATCTTCGAAGACAACACTTTTAGGCACACTCATATCACTAGCTCTCTATAGACACGCCTAAACATACCAATCCAGTCATTCTTCAGTTCCTTTAATTTCGGCAATGCAACTTTGTACGGCTTAGCTAATATTCGACCTACAAGCCATCCTCGAAGTTCACATCGCCAATATCATCGGCGGCGTTCTCCAGCGCACGTTCGCATTCATCTCTCTCATCCTGATATAAGCGCTTCCGCTCCGCCTCTAAGTCAGGATCTGTCGCTGAATACCGCATAGCACGCTTCGCATCGTTGTGGGTAGCGTTCAAAAATTGAATTCGTCGCTGAAAAGCATGCAAGGGTTCCGTAGTTGAGTACACATCCACGCTGTCACTCGTAATCAGCTCCCGCTTGACATTATCTAGAACAGCGTCAATCACCCCATCATGGATAGCCTTTGACAAAATATACTCCGCATCGGCTGGGTTCTCCATGGACAACTTTACACACACGTCTGAAATGCTGATACGACTGTATGCTTGACAAATACGCCGAAGTCCGGTCTTAATGACATGCTGGCGGACACGTAGAATGAGCGAGTAGGTGCGGTCATGCGCGAATGTCTCTTTATGCTGCTGCAGGATAGACATGAAGCGACCGAGCTGGCCGAAGCGCACACAAGAAGTGAGCTGCAGGTAGGGCGATAGACATTCACGCATATCCTTGGCTAAAAAGTCCGACCGGGGTGGAATCTCACCTAGCAGTAACTGCACCACCAACGACAATTTTGTCGCCGCGATGTGGAAGCCATGCGCGCGCTCAGGGGCCTTCCGCAGAGCTTGCTGAAGAGAGTGATGGGCAGCCACGTACTCCAAGCGCAGAGCCTGAGTGAAGCCGACATAGTAGTAATACCGTGCTGCCTGATTGTTGGAGTGGTGCGGCAAGGTGAGATCACACGTCGCGATCAAGGACTCAGCCTGTTCATGTTGATGGGTACGCGTGAGCAGGGCGAGGAGGTCGTTAAGAAGGATCTCCATGCCAAGCTCATCGTGCCGGACGCAGAGGGCACGATAGAGCGTCATAAGCGAGGTGAGGTGCTCGGTGTCACTGATAGCAGGCCTCTCGGCACCTATGGGCGCAGGATTCTCAGAAACTACGAGCGACATCAGCCTTCGGGCGTTTTCTATAGGTATATAAAATAGATAAATGCTGCTTTCAAATTCGCGCTAACCACGAAAGGAATCCTATGACTATGATATTTAATCGTGAAATGTGTAACTTAGCTGCTCTATTGCGTGAAGCAATAAAAAAAGAGGGTATGATGAGATTTTTCCGCATACGGGGAAGAATTCAATATTCGTCAATATCCTGATATCTAAAGATGCCCTAAAAAGTAGATCTTTAAGGTGCAGTGTGTGGCAAATCCGTCTGAAATTTACTTTTAACTATATATTTAAAAAATTAATCGAAGTTCATCATAAAGTTTATTAGAAGAAAATGGTGTAAATATTGCTTCGGATTAGAACTCTGCCGATGCCAAGACGGAAAGGGGTAATGAAAAGGAAAACCCAAGCTTCTTTGTAGAGTCGCATATGCTATGATCGTTAATGAGTATCGATTCCTAACGCATGTACGGCTTTTATATGCAGGTACAATGCTCAACGTGAGCGTCTCTTGGAGCTGAGAGCGGTGCGCGCGTTCAACCAGTCCTCTTCACGCTTGCGCTTTCGGGAAATCTCTTTCCGGTGTGACTCAATCACCTCTGCGAAGTCGTCTCCGTCGTCGTCATAGCGGTGACGATCCCCACCAAGAGCGGTACCATCGCCCTCATCATCCGCAGCACCTTCGTTTGCGCTCTCCACATCAGCGTCGTCTAGGCCACCCCACTCCAAACCCCTGTCGCTGCTAGCCGCATCGGAATCCTGCTCGATCGCATCAGACATATGCCCCTTCCTCTTCTTCACCTCGCTCTCAAAACGTGAACCATCATCCTCCTTTGCATTATCCTCGTGATGCTTTCTTAGATTGGTATTCTTAGTCTTCCGTAGATTTCCCTCCCCGTGGACATCGCCATCGTCTTCAAGCGCCGCTAGCTTCCCGGAAGGGCCGAAAAGCGCGCTGTCAAGGGCAGTGACGCGCAACGCCACGTCCACCTCGCCGCTCGCATCCCCCCACGTCGAGCGCACCTGCGATAAGGCGTCTAAGAAACGCTGCCGTTGCACGGCGTATCGATGCAGGAAAAGAGCCGAAACATCGATGTCCTGCGCGCTTGCCTGGATGAAATACGCGTCCGAAGAACTCGGGATGTTGGGAATGTGCGAAGTGCGGGAGAAGACAGATGCACCCGCTTTCATATCAGCCTTTCCCTCGTCCTTGTCACCTTTTCCTTTCGCGTCGACAAACATCTGTAGAAAGTTCATCGTTGTCATATCATCGAGGGGGTGGGAGTCAAAAATGAGCTCCTCACCGAGGAGCAGCAGCACAGCCAGCCTGGCGACTGAAGGATGCGGGTGTCGAGTGAGCAGGTGCAGCGTCCAAACGCACTCCGACGAGGCCCGAGAAAATTGCGGATCTCGCGCCTTCGGATCATAGCGGACGTTGTCCTGCAACAAATTCTGAGATTTATGAAACGCTGAGAGAGGCCCACGAATCAGTTCCCGTACATAACTGTGAGTATTCGCCATTTCACCAACGAGAAGGAGCACAGCGCAGACGACAGCATCGCTGAAGTAGGCACAACGCTGTATTAGTCGATGCACAAAGGATGCCACACGCTCCTTGTTCTTATCCGCTCGAATGGCTTTGTGCAGCATCGAGAAGAAGTTGCTCAGTTGCGTTGATTGTGGGAACTGCTTGGGCGAAACGAGGAGAAGCCGATACAAGGCTCGATACCACCGGTTCTGGAACGTCTCCTTCGAGCCTTTTTGTAGGACCAACAGCTGCAGTAGTGATAGCGTCGCGACGCGCTCCTGGAAATTACCAACATTGGCAACCACATACAGTGCGTTCAGATGCTCCTCGAGCGGTGCGATATCAGTTCCTGTGTATGGGAAGGCCCGCCGCAAGCCGACAATGATCGCCATTGATACCCTGGAATCTACATTTCCGGTGTGCACTAGTTGTCGGAACAAGGAAAGATAAATTTGCATACACCTCAGCGCTAGTTTTCGCTCCTCTTTGCTGAACACTATTTGGTTCATGATATTCGTCACATACCGCATCGTTTGAAGAGGACAATTTTTCATAAACACCACCTTTTCAAGCTCGGTAAGAAGCATTGTCTGATGCATAGATGACTCCGACAAGAGCTTGAGGATATGGTGGTATGCACTATGGCTTATCTGAGAGCTATTGTCGCCGAGCTTGTCGATTATCATCGCCGCCGCAACGCTGCGGGACTCTGCGATGGAGCACAGGAGCTTACCGACGACATCCAGCCACGCCGCACGTCTCTGGAGGAGTCGATCCTTTAGCATTGCTTCGCTGAGAGAGAGAAATTGCGTATAGGTGCGCTTCAAATAGTCCTCCAAAAACCAGTAAACCAAGACACGCTTTCGGTTGCCCTCTTCAGTGGGAAGGGTAGCGAAGTACTGCGAAACGAACCGCTTAAGTGGTCGTGGTGGGAGGAGTTTTGGCCAAACGGCCGCAAGTGCCTTGAGCGCTGCTTCATAGTGGTGTGCATCCGTGCGCGCGGTATCGAAGAGCAGGTCGAAAGCGTCTAGGAAGAACATAAAATCCGTATCCGCAAGCTTCACCGCGGCAGAAGCAATTTTGTCAGCAATTGTACCACGCTTAAGAAACTGGGAGCTATACCAACGGTCACGATCCATTTGATTTTGGTTACGCTGATCGTCCAAGATCGCTTGGGCTTCCTGGTAGTACGCGTCCATCTCCTCCTTAGAGGTCGTGGAGTTGGCAATATCTTTGAGACTGCGTGCGCACAACGGAAGGGGCACCATAAACCATTTTTTGTCAAGGTCCAAAACAGAGGAAGCTTTCATGTGAGTACACAGTGAGGGCAGCGAGCCACCGTCTTATTTTCACTTAATGCTTGCTTCACCGTCCGTGTACTTAGGTATGTTTATGTGTGTACGTACGCGCGTGTACAAGTTTCCCTGGTAAATGTTTATGTTTAAGCCACTCTTCAATCAATTCAGGGTTACTTTAGATACAAAAGAATCAAAAAAATAGAATTGGAGAAAAGTTTGTATAGAAAAAGTTTTTACATGAGTAAACCACAACGATAATAAATTCAAGCAATAAACCTATCCCATCAAGCTTTTGATCCTCGATTTAGACCCTGCATAGGTCATGCTATGGTCCTTAAGAAATACAAAAATTCTGATGCAACAAAAAACAGAGAAAAAAGGACCCATATCAAAAAGATGGAGAAGCTGATAAATACGAAAATATGAAAATGCACATCTTTGGAGAGCACTATCGAGCCTTAGAGAAAGGCAAAAGTTGGTCCATATTCCCCAAGCCCAGCTACATTTACATGACATGCATATATACCAAGAATTTTTCAAGCCCCTCTCACCATCATAAGCAGCCAACTGTCAAGCAATATGTATCATAAGAAACAAAGAAAATAAATGTTCAACAAGCTGAAGGAAAATAAATCACTTTTGACGAAACGAAGAAGGGAAAAAAGACATTTTGTCCAAGAAGGTCTCTGATTTTATGTAAAGCACTACACTTCCCGAATGATCAATGCTGTCTTTATTTCATAGACGACTTCAAGGCAGCTAAGCGTGCATCCAACTCCTTATCCTCCTCTACTTCCTCCTCGGTAGGTTTAGCCTGCAGGTCACCCTTTTTGACACCTATCTGGCGCAGTTCGATCCCAACCTCATCAATTACCTTTTGAATCTCCTGCTCTGTTTCCTCCTCTACGTCTTCATCATCCATAACATTGTCGATAACGTCGTTGATCATATCGTCCTTCATATCCAACAAATCATTCTCCTTCTCAAACTCCCGCATAATGCGCTGCATTTCAGGAATATTTAAGTTTTTATTAATAGACTTCATGGCCTTTGCAACACCCTTCATTGCGGTAGCCATTTGAGTGGTGGAACTCATGGTCTGTATCTTTAGCGAGGCACCTTGAATTTGAGTCCGCATACGGTAAATTTTTTGATTGTATTTCCGTGTACGAACTAAATCGCGTGCCATTATAGTAAGGGCATCCATTTCGTTCTGTTTTGCCATCTTTTTCATATCAATTACAATCCGCTTCTCTTGCTGAACCAGCTTATTACGCTCTCGGTCCAGCTCGCGAGTCGTCTTCTCTAGCGCACGTTTGTACTTGCGCAGCTTCTCTTGAGGCGTTGTACGGTGAAAGATATCAGCTAGACCCATGGTTTGGTTTGATTGAGACGTCAAACGAAAATTAAAAGAGTGATAACTATGGGGTAAAAATGTCTATAAATAAATAGTTATTTATTTATTTATCTCCTTTTATAGCTATAATAGTAGAAACTGTATTAAAAAGATGCGTGAGAACGAACTCACCGACATAATTAGTATATTTAATAGAAAGGTCACAGGAAAATCATAGCCTCGAGATCAACAAAAAGCGATAAATAAGATTCACTTAGAGAGTTAATTATACGAAAATAAAGCGAAAAATGCAAGGAGCTGTGCAGTGCAGCATCCTCTACAACCGAGTAGAGCGAAAAAAGGCATACTACTTCATCAGATAAACAGTATCTGTGCCACATCGTTGTGAACCTAGGATACTCTCAGCTATCATAGATCGCCTCTCCTTCAAACTGCTCGGCTAGCCTCCGCGCCATTACGAGGGCTGGCATGCGAACCGTGCTAGCGCACCCACGCAGGTAAGGCAGCACGGCTCGACCTGACGCATAAAACGGTGCGGACCCCTTGCTAACAGTGATGACCGTCACCACCTTCCCAAAGTGCGCTTGAAGCGTCATTCCCACTTCACCGCCGCAACGCCGCTCATCATCCCCACCCTCGTGAGCCACACGCTGCGAGCCCTCGCCTTCACCTAGGTAGGCAGCAGAAAGCGACGTGGACGGCATCTTCCACCAGTCCTTAGGCATGGCTTTGATAGAAGTTGCCAACTCCGTGGTCGATGCGTTTCGAGTGGATACCACGTTGAGAACCGGTAACTCCTTCGCCACCACACTGCCCGCTACCATGGCGGGGCAAAACCCTGTCGTGCGCAGCATCTGCACCACCTCGCCACGCTCATGCCCGACAACCTCACCTTCGTCGGTCACCCCCACGCACAACACACCTCCCATCGTGGAGGCCATGGCTGCGATGGTATGTCGAATGCGCTCCACGTCCATGATAGCGGTCGCATTCTTCCCGACGTAGGCACCGTCTTCACGTCGTTGTTTTGTGGCGGGGCGATAATGGCTAAGATGATGCTTAAATTCAACCGTTGGCCCCTCAAACAGGCCCTCCACATCTCGAGAGGTGGATATGAGTGGTACAGAGTTAAATGGTTTACTACGCAACTTTTTGTAGTAAACCGATCTGGTGTCGGTCATGCTAGAAAATACGGTCTCCGCCTTTGCCACAAGTCGTTCCTTCCCCAAACGCAACTTTGTGCGAAGCTTCAAGGCGGCATCATTAGTGGAAGAGCAGTCTTTACCCCCCTCCCCACAACAATCGAGGCTATCCGTGGCATCAACGTCTTGGCATTTGGGTGGGCCCTCTGCCCGAAAAGGAATCGGATTAGCCCGCACATACCGACTCATCTTTTCACATGTACGCAGATACCGTCGACAACTCGCCTCAACAAGCTCTACCAAATCTGAACACAAAACTCCGCCGTACACCCCGGCTTTCGCTTCCCCAGGCGCCCCATACGGAAGGAAAGGACCCTGGCCAAGAAGGTACGCGTCTTCGAACCAGAGGAAAAGAGGTGCACCGTGGTACATAAAAGGGGAGGTGTTTGGCGGGGCACTAGACAGCCGCCGGCATCGGACCCCGTGCGCGCGGACGGTCACGAGCCGCTTACACTCCTCGCGTAGCTCACGCAGGGGGCTCGAGTTGTCAAACTTCGAGGCCTCACTGAGCTGCAAAAAGTGGTCACCACGCGGAGACGCGGGCGTCTCCTCCGCGAACGGGTGCGTGTTAGGGAAAGCGTCCGGTGCATCCCCTTTCCCCTCTTCCCCTTCCACCGCCGCCGTCATAGAGGCGAGGTAGGAAGGGATCGGTAAACGCGCCACCAGGCACCAACGGACTCCCTGAGAGGAATCGGCTGCCCCGCGCCGCACACCGGCTTCCGCAGCGGAATGCGGCGACGCAGTATTCCCCGCGTTTGGATCCCAATACGGGCATGCAACGTACGCGTAGCGCGCGGTTTGCGCAACACAAACCGCATCGAACTCGATCCCTCTTACATCCAGATGAAGCATCCAGCCTGGGGAGGCCTTGGATACCGCTAGCGACCCCCTCCCTTCGGTATTACCCTTTCCCAACCGATCCTTTTTTTCCCCCCGCGAGGGAAGAGGAAATGAGGCGGCGGCGGCGGCAAGTATATTGGGCTTGAAATGTACTCTTGGAGAAGAAGCGGACGTCGCGTTGCCGCCTTGCATTCCCTGCCGGCCACGCTTCCGGTCTCGCGTGTTGGTGGGGGAAAAGGAACCCGAGGACTTTGCCCAGCTCCCTTCATTCGCGATACGCTCTGTTAGCCACAAGCTCGCTTTTTTATGAAATACTCCTAACCTTTCGGCAATGTAAGCTATTGTCTCCTCTTCATGGGTGTCTCCTTCGGGATCTAAACACCCTGACGTCACAGAACGGGAACTTTCAGCGCAATCATCTGATCCTTTTTGATGGTTATACTCAACTCTCGCCCTCTCGCCGGATAATTTTGCACGAATCCAAAGCTCTGAATCACATTGATAAATAGACCCTGCGAGGGATGACTCGCGCTTCAGCACATCCACTTCGGTTTGTAAATCGCTTTTAATCGAAAAAAAAGGTGCGGCAGCCCCCTCAACCGTGTATAGAGCGCCGTGCACATCGCATGTTTGACAGGGGTGACTGAAGCCATACGCGTAGGGAAGGATGGTCTGAAAGAAAAAGGAAGCGGCGAAGAACCCATCCCAAGTGAACTGCGGCGATCGGTCACTGAGATACCGGAGGACATCAATTGGTGGGTAAACACGCGCTAGCGCACGATCCACTAGTCGCAAAAAAGCGTCCCGAATAGCCCGTTTAGAACGATCTTGATGAAAATCGGTGCTAATTTTCCAGGATGCACCAGGGTAGCTAAATTCTAGCCTGACACATTCGTAAGAGGATGTGGATGCAGCTGTAGCAGCTGTTGCGAAGGCTTTGGCAATCACGAGCTCAGCTCCCAGTGAATGGATCTCATCCTTCTCAAAGAATGCAGGAAGTTCAACTCTTAACATTAAATAAAAAAGAAAATTTGAACGGAACTCTTAGTTTAATCTCCCTTGTTGTGTGTTAATGACCACCTTCAAAATGCCTTCCTATTGTTAATACAAAACCAATGCATGGAAAGGTGGGCATTCAGTTTGCAAACACCTTAACGGAATACGTGAAACCCTGACTGAACAAACTCAAAATTCAAAATGGAATCCAAAACCATTATGAATGCTATTATTAAATTAGATTAGAATATGGTTGATATGCATGGTCGATAAAAGATAAACATCTGCATACCGACATAAATAATGTAAATGAGGAAAATTGGCCAAAATAACTATGTCTTAAGGTATTTCTTGGCCAATTGTTCGCGTCTATTGAAGATAAAAAAGAGCGATTCGATTCATCCCGGAATACAACACTGGGCGCGTAGAGATTTGGAAAGACGAGGAGTGAGACAATAGAAAAGAAGCCGCCCAAAGTAGGTTTAAAGGTTCGAATTTCGAAACCTCCTTTTCTTATTTCACTAAAAATTCTGTGAGGTTTAAATTAATGTTTCCAAAATATTTGATAAAAAAACAATGGTAGAAAAATAGTGCTAGGAAGGTAATTGTGATCAGAATTCAGAGACAACAACAAAAAAAACAGAAAGCTCAATCCTGACAGAGTTCCGCTTGCATGTGCTACCAATGCGTTCAATGGGTATCATTCATCGCATACTGTTCCTCCATCACCTCTAAACTTATTGCGTAAGGCCGTGAAAAATCATCTTTCGTTTCGTAGTAGCGCGCCAGTCGCAGCTTTCCATACTCGAGAAAATCTACATCAAGAGCGGACACTGCCTCCTGTAGCAGAGACCATATGCTCCATGATAGGTGGGAGTATAGCGTAAGCAGCTTCACAAGCCCTACTGACTGCTCAATAGCCTTTTCTTCTTCTGAAGCACTCTGAGAGAAGAACAGCGCCCGCTCGTTGGCGATGATATCCTCTGTAATGTGAAGATCTGCATGACTTCGCTCCAGTTGCGCCCGCATTACGCACCTATAGCGCCTGACAAAGGTAGAAATATGTTCGTCAGACGGAAAGTATTTAGCATAGTCGCATTCCAGCCCGGTGTATTCGTTAAAGTGGTTTGCTAGATCAAATAGAAGGAAATTTCGCTTAGTATAATCAAAGTCAATGATTTTCAGCTTCCGTGTATTCACATGTCGCATAAAGTTTGCACTAAGTAAATCATTGTGACAGACACCCTCTCCTAAGGATTCAAGGTGAGGTTTAAGGAGCTTTAGCATGTACTGACTTTCCTCATGAAGCTCTTTCCCCACGCGTCTGAACTCAACTTGTTTTTCTTCATTCACTTTGCGGATAATCTCCTCAGAAACAATCAGCTCCACCCACGCGGTTAGAGAATGAATGGTGTAGTTGGACTCGCGCTCAAAACGTGTTCGACCCTCCTGACTCTTAACAGCGATGGATGGAGAGCGCCGACTATTATCCGCAATTCCCCGTTTTTCATATGCATTATTGCCAATTTCAACGCTTGGCTTTCGTTCATCTGAGAGAGATTCAATTTCCATGAGTCCGTTCAACGGCTGCGGCAGATTTTGCCTTCCGCGAGCGGCCCAGGTCGCACGAACCTGAAATGCCGCAATCGCTTCAGCGATCGCTTCGCCTTCGACAGGCATCTCAGCGTACGGCAAGGGTTCGTATGAGTTCAAGTACTCGTAAATAAGAAAATTGTTGCCGTGAACAAAGGTTTTAAGAAAAAGAGATTGGTAGAACAACTCACTCTCGCGAGAGATCACCCGCTCCGTCTCCTTTCCAAAAATCCGAACCACTACCGATCTGGACGGGTTGTCAGGGTCATATACGTGAAACAGTTCGTTCGTGATGCCGCCAGAGAGCCGCTGGATGAGAAGCGGGAGATCGAAAAAGAGCAGGGAATTGTCATCCTCGTGCAGGGAGTGGCCGGATGGGGTGACCATCACAACCTCCCCACCAGGTGTCGTCGCCGGTGTGGCACCACGATAACGCTTCTGCACCTCGATAGAACGCTCCCCTTCCTCCTCCTCGCTATCTGTGGAGAGCGCCGAATCCAGATGTGGTTCGGGCGAACCCCTCCGCGAAGCACGACTGCCAGCTAAATTCACTTTTAGGGAATCCTTGAGTTTAGACTCGACCTCGGTGTGTGGTCTTAGGCCATTCCTCAACTCCCCTGGGAATGGATGTGGGAGGAAGTGCGACTTGGATGAGTGTTCCTGTTGGATGTGAGGATTTTTAAGAAGAATGACATCTGCAGACGCCACATGGAGACCGTTAAACCCCGATTTTTGATGACGAAAAGAGTTGGAAGAGTCAAGCGAATCCGTGGCAGCAGGGAGTTTGGTGGCGCGGCTACTTTCATTAAGTGACCCTATCGTTGTGGCTGCGCCAGTATATCTTGGAAAATTGACCAATTTAGCTGCCTCGAGATTTTTTATACGATGCCGAAGTTTGTTCAGCCAAATAAATGTCTGTTTGTGTCGTGTATGGCTGTCTGACCATAGGACATCGGTGCAATGAGAAAGCACCAACTCCACTAGTTGCAAATGACGAATTACAGGATCGTCGGTTATAAAATAATCTACTGTCTTTTCCATGATGAGAGGCACATATACGCAAAACCAAAAAACTTTAAGTAAATAAATCCTACTTATTGAAGCAACTTATTTTACGACTAGATTAAAAAGGTATTCACTAAATCCTTTACGCACATAGGTGAAGGGGGGTGATACGTTGAATTTTTCAAACAAAAAATTATGGAATAAGTTTTTTTATTTCCCATACTGCTTATAGAAAGCAAGGTCATAAAGAATAATATACATATTGATAATATGTATATTTGTTCTATTGTCCTTGACTCTCAAATATCGAAGATAGACATTTTTAAGAACGCAACATGCATAACCGCAAAAATCAAAGACGGCAAATGAGCATAACAACTAAAGTAGACCTGAGTTTCCACGAATGAGGCTTCATCCAATAATTTCCCCGCATTAGTATGCCACATTCCCCTATGGCCTCAACAAACGCCTAATTCTAGATACCACATTTGGAGATGTACTGCATGTTGACAATATTCAGAGAATTAATTCAAACCTTAGAATCTCTCAGCAATTTCAGTCGTAATATCATAACTCTTGCAATTCATCTGGATATTTTGTTAATATATCGTGTATTACTAAACGAACAAGATTTTGAATGCTGAGTCCCACATCAGAGTAATTCTCTAGATGAGTTAAGACCTCGCATCGAATAACAGGCCACTTGGTAGTTCTGCATAGATTCTTAATGCCAAGATATTCCTCGGGCAGATCTCCTTTTAAAAGGGAAAAGACAATTATGCTATGAATACCTTCACGGGAAGCTTCTTCCAGTGCATTCCTAAGAGTAACTTGATGAGAATCCTGATCGTATATCGGCAGTGGTCTCACGGAAAGCCTACAGTGACCTGCAAATGGCGCAGTGTCACGCTGGAGATGCTCAACAAGGGCGTCCGATGCGCCACCACATTCTAAATCATCATAGGTCAGAAAAATTTCAATAAAGCGATCCATTAAAGGGGGAAAAAGGCTTATGATGAGTCACTATCTAGAAGCAACACCCCTCAAAAACGCGCTAAATAGGAACACAAAGCCTTGAATCAAGAGAAGGGGAGACAAAAGTGGATAGAATAAAATGTATAGAAAATAAAAAAGTGACAATCCAATAGAGTCGCTGTGGGACTACTCTCAGAACAGAAAAGGAAAAAGACAGGAGAAAGATATTTGAAAATATGGAAATGAAAAAAAAAGCATAAATGTGTATTTCCTTCCAATCGTACGAACCTTGACGAAGACTTTAAGG